TTTTTTTTTGAGATGGAGTTTCCCTCTGTTGCCCAGGCTGGAGTGTAACGGTGCAGTCTTGGCTCACTGCAACCTTGGCCTCCCGGGTTCAAGTGATTCTCCTGCCTCAGCCTCCCAAGTAGCTGGGATTACAGGTGTGTGTCAACATATCTGGCTACTTTTGTATTTTTTTTTTTAGTAGATCGAGGGTCTCACCATGTTGGCCAGGCTGGTCTCGAACTCCTGACCTCAAGTGATTCACCCGAGTCAGCCTCCCAAAGTGCTGGGATTACAGGCATGAGCCACCGCGCCCACGCTACTTTCATTTTCAATAAATCCCTTAATTCCTTCCTTGCTTTGTTTGTGTGTTTTGTCCAGTTGTTTTTTCAAGACCCCAGGAACCTGGACACCCTCCACCGTTAACATAGTTTGGCGAGACAGCCAGGAGGAAAACGTAAGCCCAAAGTTTGGGATTTATTTTCCCCCTTTTTCCTTTTCCTTTCTGCTCCATAAAGGGGAATCTCTCTCTCTCTCTCTCGCTCTCTCTCTCTCCGTTTCTCTCTCTTTCTCTCTTCCTTTCCAACCCGGGACCCTTGGTGGTCAGCGCCTAAACATGGAAGCAACTGCAGGGTTTTGGCCATGGCCAGTGAGACTAAGGGGTTTCCATGTGGAGAAGCCTAACTACCACCTCCTGGTTCGCTTAAGGAACCTGGGTCTTTTTCATTTTTTTTCCTTTTTTTTTTTTTTTTTTTTGAGACGGAGTCTCGCTCTGTCACCGAGGTTAGAGTGCATCAGCAGGATCTCTGCTCACTGCAACCTCTGCCTCCCAGGTTCAAGGAATTCTCTGCCTCAGCCTCCGGAGCAGCTAGGATTACAGGCACCAGCCACCACACCCGGCTAATTTTTTGTATTTTTAGTAGAGACGGGGTTTCAACATCTTGGCCGAGCTGGTCTTGAACTCCTGACCTCGTGATCTACCCACCTCGGCCTCCCAAACTGCTGGGATTACAGGCGTGAGCTACCGCGCCCAGCCACAGATGACTGATTTTATCTCAAAAAATGAATAACAATCATAACTGATATTTATTTGTGTGCCAGGCATTGCACGAAATGATTTACTACATTTCTTTTTTTTTGAGACGGAGTCACGCTCTTGTCGCTCAGGCTGGAGTGCAATGGCACAATCCTGGTTCATCGCAACCTCCGCCTCCTGGGTTCAAGCGATTCTTCTGCTTCAGCCTCCTGAGTACCAGGGATTACAGATGCGCACCACCACACCCTGCTAATTTTTTTGTATTTTTAGTACAGACGGGGGTTTCTCCTTGTTGGCCAGGCTGGTCTCGAACTCCTAACCTCAGGTGATCCACCCGCCCCAGCCTCCCGAAATGCTGGGATTACAGGCTTGAGCCACCGCGCCCGGCCATGAGTAGGTATTATTCTATTTCACTACTGTGGATAGTGAACCATAAAGACATTAAAATAATTTGCCTTAAGTTCCTGTACCATATGTAGTGGAACTGAGCTTCGCAGCCAGGCAATCTGACTTCAGAGTTCAACTTAACTTCAAGGCCCTTCGTAGTCAGAATCCTTTGTATGTGATTCCAACAGGTTAACTCCGTTAGGGCAGAGGGCTATTTTATGCTCAATATGGAACCCTGGATGGCCAACACAGCGTTTGGCACGTAAGAGGTGGTCCAGGGGCATTTGATGACCTCCAGGCAGTGGAGGGGCAGTCGAGGAAGACCAGGGCCCCAGGCGCCTACGTGGGCGGAATGCACAAGCTTGGGTCTTGGCGGCCGGGGCTCCACGTCCCAGCACTAGCCAACGAGGGCCTCGGCCGCGCGCGAATATTCGTGCCTTCCTCGCTGCGAGGCTTTCCGAATCTTGGCCACGAGCTAAAGGCGGGGTCGCCGGACCGGTAGCAACCGGAGACACTCAGCCCCGCAGCAGGAAATGCGCCTCGTGGCTTCCGGCGCGTGCAGATGACGCGCGGCTCGGGCTTCCGCCTTGGGAAGCGGGCGGCGGAGCCCGGGACGCGGAGACCTGGGGTCGCAGCAGCTGGGCGGCCCGCGGGCCCAGGGTGGGAATGCACCGCCGTGGGGTGGGAGCTGGCGCCATCGCCAAGAAGAAACTTGCAGAGGTGAGCAGGAAGAAGGCTGACCCACAACCTGCCCCTGACCCGTGCGAGACTGAATTCTCTCGGAGCCGAGTCCTACCCGTTAATCACCTCCCAGCAGAATCTGAGACGGGCTTCTTGGCCCCGGGATACAGAACGTCTCCAGCTTCCAGTGGATTGGCAGCGTTCCCAGATGCCCAGCCCTTTCTCCCACTTACCCAAGTTTTAACTACAAATGGGACTCTACTCACAAATCTACAGTCGTCGATTCTACTCCTTCACCCTATCCTTCTCCCTAAGAAAACCATTTAAGAGAAACCCCCCTCTTTTCATCCCAAAGCTGTGGCAGCACAAGTGGGGGACCCCAGCGCCTACTCTCTTGTTTTTCTTTTTCTTTTTCTTTTTTTTTTTGTGAGACGGAGTCTTGCTCTGTCCCCCAGACTGGAGTGCAGTGGCGCGATCTCGGCTCACTGCAAGCTCCGCCTCCCGGGTTCACGCCATCCTCCTGCCTCAGCCTCCCGAGTAGCTGGAACTACAGGCGCCCACTACCACGCTCGGCTAATTTTTTGTATTTTTAGTAGAGACGGTTTCACCGTGTTAGCCAGGATGGTCTCAGTCTCCTGACCTCGTGATCCGCCCGCCTCCGCCTCCCAAAGTGCTGGGATTACAGGCGTGAGCCACTGCGCGCGACCCCCAGCGCCCACTCTCTTAACTCATGCTGGTCTCTTTGTCTGACAGGCCAAGTATAAGGAGCGAGGGACGGTCTTGGCTGAGGACCAGCTAGCCCAGGTGAGTCGGCTGGGGGGCCCCAGGCAGGGAGGGAGACCTAACAGGGCTGGCCAAAACACCTTGGATACGAATTTGATTGTGTAGATTGAACTAGAAATAGGGTGTTTGGCAAATTTTGATTTCTGAGCCGCTGAGATCTTTTAGGTGACTTGCTAATAATAATGGCCAACATATTTGAGTGATTACATGCTTGTAACGTCCCAGGCATTTGTCTATTTTCTTTACATATACTGTCTTGTTCAGTCCTCATTACAGTCCCATGAGGAGGGAACCCTATTATTCTGAGGGTTTTTTTTTT